ATTATTAATTTTATAAACTTGCTATATAAGTATATTTTATATAAAAAATTACTATATTTTTTAGAAATTATTTTTTATACCTCTCAAATTTATTATTCATACCCTGTAATGTTAATTTCTGATCGTTATATGATCACGTGAAATAATCTTCGAAATCTTACTTGCGATTGGATGATATACTGCACAGGACATGCATAATGTATAACATCTAATCAACCTTAATACGTATATAATTTAAACTTTATGAGGTAACATATTCGCAACACTTTTTAATTATTTTAATAGTTGAGAACATTTATATTTCTTTTTACATAAAAATTGTTTTATTTTTTAAATCTGACACAAAATTTTAATTAATACTGTAAGTACATTTCAAAAACTAATTTCATATTCAAATATATGTGTATAGAAAATAAGGTAATAACTAAAAGGAAGGTATATTTAAAAGATAAATATCTAATAGTGTTATCAAAAAAAAAACTAAGATTTACACTGAACTATTATTTCTATTTAAGCAAGTATGCATATTGTGCTCAAATTAGCAGCAAATAGTATAATACCTTCCTTTATAATTTATTAATTCAAAACTGGAAAGATCTCTTCTAGTTGAATTGGTTTGTTTATTAGAGGCACCTAAAGGACGTCCTTTTGTATGAACTACATAGGAATTTTGCAAGATAAGTAGAGTATTAATTATATTTTTTAATGTCTTTCATGCTATTAACTACTAAGATTCTAGCTATTCTTAGTATTTTTGTTATAGGTCCTCTAAAAGAGGTTCTAATGTATCTTTATAATGAAGAGTGTTTTCTTCAATTTACAATGCTAGTAGATGTTCTAGAATTCACTAATGCTTATGAATATTATCAAGTATAAGGCTTTGATTATTCCTAAAATATTAGATAATATGAGCATAAGGTAAGCCTATTGTTCTTGTGAAGGATCCTATGCATAGTGACAAGGGCTTTTGTACTGTGGCATGTTTTACTTTTTGATATTGTTCATTTATTTTTTTGAGAACAAAGGTTGAAATTTTACCTTTGATATTTGTATATAAAACATCGTTAGTAGCAAAAACCAGAATATGAATCCATTTAAATATAATCATAGTATTTAGCTCTTTTTTCTGATTAGTTACTACTAGTAATATTGCTATATAAACCCAGTAAAGATCTCCTATAGATCCTTGCAAGTAAGCCTTAAGAGCGGCATATGCTCTTTCAATTCGAGAAGTTATTATTGTTCCTAAGTAAAACAATTTGTTCATCCATACTCTTATAAATCTTTCTTTTCATGAAATCCAGATTGTTTCAAGATAAATTATAGCAGTGGACTTATTAATATAAGTAGAACGAAAATTTCTTCACATTACTTTAAATTCATCTTCTGTCACAGATTAAATAATTTCATTCTATTTGGCAAGAAAATCTTGCTATTCAGTGCTTTCCTCATTACTTATCCCCTTTGAGAATAACAGTTTGCAATTTTTTAGGACATTTTTACTAATATGCTATACACAAAGTAAATTTGTCAAACTAGGAAATATTATACTAAGAGTATTCATAAGGGTAAGCTCTCTATCAGTTACAATAATGCCTGGCATTTCTGCTCTAGCAAACAAGCATGAAACACATATTAGAGCCTACTTATAATCCTCTACATCTTTATCTTTTATGAAAATAAAACAAAAATAAAAGGTTGTATTAAATCCAGTTATATCTATAATGTTTAACAAGAGCATTTTAAATTTGTTTGTTTTATAGGTACAATCCATCAAAAATACAAAAGGATATTAGCAGGTAAGAAAGATTGATTCATTATGTGAAAAAAAGAAATAGATAATAGAACTAGTATTATCATATTCATATTCATACAAAAAATTACCATTTTCAAGTTTATCAACTAGAGCTTATATTGGAATACGACCTGCTAAGTTCTGTTGCTGAAGCTTTGCACACATATTATAAATATCACTGTTAGTAATTAGTATTGATAGGTTATTTTGCTTAAGAGTTGTTATAATTTCTTTTAAACGGGAACCAGCAATAGCTATCACTTCAACATTCACTATATGTTGCTCTGTAAGTCTACGAACAATAGGATGGCCTGACATGTCTTGTGAAAGATTATGGTTATGAGTTGTATTATGAATTTTTAAATGCTATTAACTATTTCGTCAAGTAGCATATAACTCAAAGGGGTAGTCAATGAACCTAGTATTTTTTTGTCTATGATATGCTTCTTTATTTAGTTTTTAAGAGTTATGATAGATACTACCTCAGTCACAATATAAATACATATTTTTTAATTCATCACTCTTATCCTTGCGAGTTCTTTTTTTTACCAGAGTGTATCCTTGTGAGTTTGTGAATCTTTGTATACTTTAAAAAAGTTCTTCAGCACTATTGTATACTTTAGACAGTAGTGGAAGCATGATTTACTTAACAAGAGGAAATAATATCCAAGTAGTAAACTGCTGACGCAATTAATCTTTATTTTTAATTAAAACAAAGAACTTTAAGCACTCACATTATTACAATATAGAGAAATTATTAAAAATGAAGAATATGATATATTTATCAAGTTATTTGAATCTGACAATATGTTTATTAACTCAAAATTTTTCTTTTTTATACTTTAGATATACTTCATGAAAAAATTTTCTATCGATATAATTTATCTTGAGGCTTTGATATACAATAGAAGTATTTCATTTACATTTCTTTTTTACTAAAATTTCATCATACTATTCTATAAACATTATTACAATTACGATCTTTAAAATTTATTATCAATTTTTACGCGTATTGCCACAGCTAATCCAAAATATCTTCTAAATTCTTACCTTACTATGTATCATATTTTCTTTACATTGGTAAACTCACTTTAAGTTAAGTTAATTAGTAGCTAAATATTTTGTTATATTTTCTATATATACGTACTCTGCTCGTATTTTTCTAATATTTTACTAATTAATTACTAATAGCTAGAAGCAATTCATGCTGCATGCAGAATACTAATTAGGATGAAATCCTACTGATTTATTTTTGATCAGGGCTTAGAATCAAAGTTTTTTTATGCATTCTACAGCTTATTCCAAAAATGCGCTTCAAATTCATTGTTATACATTAGGTTTTTAGATTTATTACCTATTCATGCATATTGCTACGACCTATTCCTTATTTATCATAATCTTTTAAGTACACTGCCTCAACTTATTTCAACACCATACTCTAGTTCATTTTCTATTCATGCATATTATCATAGTATATCATCATTTTTTACATCGCCACAACTATGCTTTTTTAGGATTCATTGTTTTCTAATTTTACTTTTATAGATATTGATTTTTAATTTGATTGATTTTTCTATTTTAACTAGTATCTCTAGAACTGAACTAGACATCGTCAGTGAAAAAAATTAACGTGCGCTATGTTTATTCCGCACATTTACTTTACTTTTGTGAACATAAAAAAATTTTAAATGTGCGTATCATGCACATTAATTATAAAAACAATGTGCGATATCCGCACACTATATTTAATATTTTACTAATCGAAATATCGTGTAACGTACACTATATTAAATATAAATTAAAAAACTACAATAACAAATATAAAATAAAGTAAAAACTTGAAATATATATGTATTATTTTTCAAACGATATTAATACATACTACGTAGAGTTTTTATTTTAAATATGTATATTATAATAACAATTTTTATACTTAGACTACTTGCAAATGATATGAATTATTATATTTAAATATATATATTAACTAATACTAATTAAGATAAATAAATATTCGAGAAATGTATTAATTGATATTAATTACTGAATACTTGAGTCTTTAAATTAGTTCAGATTTATAATAATAATAATTAAGAGAGTTAATGCTGAAACATGAGTATATAATATATAAGTATTAGCCTTATAATATTTATATGTAGCAAATTTGCGAAACAAAAATTAATAATAAAATAATAAATAAATAAATATGTATAAATTAAATTATAATCTTTTTAAAATGTTGTAATAAATGAATCTGTATCAGTATTAATTATTTTATTTTACAAACTATAATCTAATATATATATATAGTTAAACCTATTTAAATATATCTTATAGAGACTCAATATTTAATATTATATATTTAAAGATTAATAATCAATAAAAAAAGACACATTTATAAAAGTATATAATTAGGCTAAAATTTAAATATGTGTTTAAAGAGGTTTTTTCGCAAAATTTATACATAGACTAATTTGATTATTGTTATAAGATAGTGTTTTGATTATATATTTACTTATGCATAAAGCAAAGTAAATTAATTTATTATTATATTGTTGTATTAAACAATTTTATTATGAAATGCTAATTGGTAGATCTTTATGTATAATTTGTATGTACTCGAAGTATTTGTTTAGATATGATTAATATATATAATAATCAATATAATATTAAATATATAAAAGCTGCAAAATTTTTGTAATATTATTTCTTTAATTTATCTTTTAAATTACTATATATCATTATTATGGACAAGAATGTTATTCGTAAAAATATTAATAAAAATCCAAATAATCAAGAACAAGAAGAATTTTCTAATTCTAATAAGTCTTCTAAAAAAGTTCGATCTGATTGGGATCCTAATTGGTCTAAAATTTATCCATGGCTTAAAAAATCTGAAGATGCTAATAGTACAATTACATTGTACTGTACTTGGTGCAAAGATGCAGGAAAATCTAATCAATTTACTGAAGGTACACAAGCATTAAGAAAACAAACTATCGAAAGACATCTTATAATTAATGATCATCAAAAAGCTATTATTGCTCGAGATAATCAACAAACAAAGCTTATGCAAGGATTTACTTGACAACTTAGTGTTCAAAAATTATTAATTATTTCATTAATGCGAAATATATATTACCTTTCAAAAAATAATCAGGCTCTAAATCAATTTCTTAATTTATGTCAATTAAATCATTTACAAACTATAAACCAAGATCAGCTTTATTTTGAAATAGAACCTATTATATTAAAATCGAATAATGAAAATTTTAGTCAATCTAATCAATCTAGAAATGAATATGCTACTTATGAAAATCCAATTTCTGGACGCATATTTCTTGAAGCAATATCATTTACTATTGAACATGAAGTTATTCAAGAAATATTAAATTCAAAATATTAGAGTATTTTAATAGATGAAAGTACTATATTTACTAATAAACATCTTGCAATTGTAACAAAGCACTTAACTAAAAATAAACCTATTTTACGTTATCTTGGAATGATTAAATTAGAAGATTGTAGTGCTGAATTAATTACTATAAATTTAAAAAGATTTATATTAGCTAAATTACTTAATATTGAAAATTTAGTTCATTTTGGAAGTGATAGTGCAAGTACTATGCTCAGTTATCAAAATGGAGTTGCTGCACGTCTTAAAAAATATAATCCTTTTATTACTGAAAATCATTATATAGCACATCATTTACATCTTGCAGGTCAAGATGCTGCTGAAAAAGTATCATATTTTAAAAAATATGAAAAGTTAGTAAAAGGAATTTATACATATTTTAGTAGTTCTTATAAAAGATTATTATTATTAAAAATGGTACAAAATACTTTAGAAGAACCTGAATTAATGATATTAAATATTATATCTACGCGATAGCTTTCATTTTCAAATGTTATTCATAATTTTCATCAAAATTTAGAGTCAATTAAAGGAGCATTATTAGATGAAGCAGCAAATAATATGCAGGCAGCTATTTTATTATCAGATATTGATCAGACTTTTGAAATTGTAACTATGTTTTTGGCAGATTATTTTTTTATAATAGATAAATTAATACGTATTTTTTAATCAAACTATATTTCATTTACAGATATCAAACAACATATTACAATGGCTTGCGATGCATTACAAGCTCAATTTATTGGTAATAATAATGTTTTACCTACTTATGGACAAAATTTACTTCAATATATTGAAGAAAATAATTTAGATACTAGTCAATTTCTTACTTTTATATCTGAATTTGCATCTGCTACAATAACAAGTTTAAATAATCGTTTTCCAAATCGGGAACTTTATGAAGCTATAAAAATATATGATCCAAAACAGTTACTAATATCTAATAGTGATTTAGCAAACTATAGTAATGAGGTGATTAATATTCTTAGTAATTTTTATAGAACAGAAAAAATTATAAATAATCAACAATTTATACCACCATTAGAAAAAAAAGATTTAATTAATGAGTGGGGAATGGTTAAATTTTTTCTTAAAAATTATCGTTCTATTAAATTTGTTGATACATGGAACTTTATTTTTTCACAAACTACATTTATTTATGATTTTCCAGCTACTTCTACTTTAATTCAAATTGCTTTACTTATTCCTGTTTCTAATACAACTATTGAACGTGTTTTTTCTTATCAAAAACTTATTAAAACTCGACTTCGTAATCAAATGAATATTGAAACACTTAATCATCATTTAATGATAGCTTTAAACAGACCATCTATTGAATTATTTGATTTTGAAAAGGCTTATGATTATTGGTATACAAAAGAACGACGAATTTAAGTATATATTAGATTTTTATTTTTAATTAGAACAATAAGTATTTTTGATTAGTTAAATAATCTTTTATAAATTAAACTTTTTTCTCTAACGTATTAAATATTATTATATGTTATATATTTTTATATTGAAATAATAAATCTGTTTTAACATACTAGCATATAATCTGTATTTCTGATATATAAAATTTGTTCAAAATAACTGAACTGATCTATAAACTAATGTCAATTAATAATTGTATTACTAAAAATTAAACCCAAATTGTAAGATAAGTACTTTATTAAATACATTCAAGTTATTTATAAAAAAAAATTAACACTAATTTTATTTTCTTTCGCTTTAATTATAAATACAAATTGATTCTATTCTATTGCATCATATTTTGATTATATAAATTTAACTTTAACTCATGTTATCGCTATATTAAACTTTTAAATTGCTTATACATTGTTATACTACTCTTTTACTACTACATTTTTCATGTTATCAATTAATTATTAAGTTTGCTTTGCTTTTCATGATCAAATTCCTATTCGATATTCAATTCCTGATCTTAATTAATTATCACAAGCTTCACATATACAAAGTACGATCTTTTTTTCTTTTTTCTAAACTAAGTATGATTATATATATATATATATATATGCTAATATATTCCTATTTTTATTTCTTTTAGAGCTTCAAATTTATACTCTTTACTAATATCAGATATAGTACTTGTTTTTACTATAATACTAGTTTAACAGAGAATATCGGTATTGCAAAAACCAAACTTATTTAATTTGGTTCAACTTCTTTATTCAAGGATTATATCAAATAAATATAGATTATAGGAGACTAAAGTTACTATTTTCAGTAGTGTATTGATTATGGTGTTCTCAAGTACTTACCTCAATGAATTCAAAATCTGATTAGCTAGTTTGAACAAACAGACTAATCAGATTCATTGTTGAGTCTAATGAGGTAGGTGTTTAAGAATATCCTATTAGTATTTATACGCACATTAATTTTAAAATTTAGTGCGCTTTGCACACACTAATTCTAAAATTTAGTGCGCTTTGCGCACTAAATTTAAATTTGAATTTTTTTCACTGGATATCGTTATGTGAGACATTATTTATATTTATTCTTCTAGTTTTTTTTTTAACTATATAGTTGCGTTGTCAATTAGAGATCAGATTCAGATTTTGTTGAGATACTCATATATTATTCATTACTGTTAATATTCACAGATATTTTATAATTCACTATACTGATTACTATACACATAATTATTTATTGAATATGTATGATCTAATCTTCGAGTATTCATGAATTTTGTGCAAATATATCATATTTTCAATGAATATCTATTTATAACTGCGAATATCAAAGATCTGATCTCTATATCAATTTTACTAATAGCTAAGGGTATGTATGTTTTTTTTGTCAATTAAGTTATGATAGTTTTAAGATTTTTGTTAGAAATAGTAGCTGTTTTATTATTTTATTTTTGTTTTTATTAATTAATTAATTTTTTTATACACATAATACAATAAAGATATTTTTTATAAATTTTTAAGCATTAATAATTTTATTCTATTGAAATGTTGCTTTGGAACTAAATTAGGTATATATCATAAGTTGCTCTACAAACTAGTTATTATAGTACATATATTGTATCCTGAATTAGAATTTGTTCTTATTTAGAATCAGAACAGTCCCATCTAGCTAAAATTAAAATTTTTATATTCTAAGTCTTAGTTCTAACTATAATACTAACTCTAGTCTAACTTTAAAATCCTAATTCTGCAAAAAAATTTACAAAATTATCTAGACAGCCTGATTCTGAGAACGATTCCAATCTGTGCATAAAAACAAAGTCAAAATTAGATCTATTTTAAATTTGAATTTGCGTATTTCACTTCTCATATTGGTATTATCATTATATTGCTTCAGTTTATTAAATTTTCAGTATCATTAAGCTGTGTAATAGTACTGTTTACTTTAATTAAGGTTGATTAGATGTTACACATTATGCATATCCTGTTCAGTATATCATCTAATCACAAGTAAGATTCTGAAGATCATTTTATATAATTATATAACAATCAGAAATTAACGTTACAGAAGGTACAAATAATAAATTTGGGGATATAAAAAATAATTCTCTATTTTTTATATTTATAAGTATTTATTTATAAATATTCTGATAATTTTTTTTTTTTTTTTTATTATTAAGGCAGTTTATATTGCTAAAGAAATTTTATTAGAATTGCATATGGGATATACATTGATAGTCCCTACTGTTTGTAATTATATAAAGAGTGTACAACAAGCTACATGTACAACTTTAGTTATTGTCTATTTTAAGTAGTCTGCTGCATAGGCGATTAGACCACCCGATTGGTTCTACACTATATTACCATACCTGTAACCTGCCTGTGAGTTACCTATTTAAACATTCTGTTTATTAACTCATAGAGATCCAACCTAACATCACCACAATATCTAACTATTTAAGCTAGCTAGCTTGTTACAGATCCATTTATTCAGAACAGCTTAGGTCCTCTCAGAATACATTGTACCTAGTGCATTGCAGATACTGCAGAGCTAGTTAACCTCAAAGCATACCTACTAGAGTGGTTCATACTCATTTTACAGATTCACCTAGCTTAGACCCTTGTAGATATTCATACAACTCCAGTTCCTACCATAGCTCTCTACCAGTTTTCTGTATTACTGGTCAAAAATGTGAAAATCGACCATGCTAAATGTTAATAAAATTCGGCTTATATTTGTCTTAAAATCAGCTTCCGAATTTAAAAATTGATACTCAAAAATAAACATCAACTCAAAATTGGCAACTAAAATAAAAAATCGACTAACAAATAAAAATTTGATTAGGTCGAATTATAAAAACATTCGGCATAAAATCAGTTCAAATTAAAAAAAATCGCCTTCTAAAATAAAAATCAATATGAAATCAGTGTAAAAAACTCAAATCGGCAATTATCTACAATCAACTACCAAATAAAATTCGGAATAAAATCAACTTGAAAATTAAA